AGTTCGGATCGCTGGAACAACGATGGCTGGGGCTCCCGTGGCCGCTGGTGAGGGTGTGAAGATGAGAACGAGGTGGGGCCAGCGACGATGTCGCTGAGCTCCCCCTCGAGTTCACTGATTTGCGGCTCGACGGCGTCCGCGCGGGGCGTTTGGGCCGCTGTGGGGCAAGGGTGCGATGCACCTGCGTCGAGCGCGCGTCGAGCCAGTCTGAGGCCAGAGTGCCGGGCGCCGCAGGCTCATTCGTTTTTGTGAACACTTTGGGGCGTTGCCTAGAACAGGAACGCCCGCCCGCGCGCGTGGAGCGCGCCGGGCTGTCCGCGGGGGGGCGGGTCGTTTGAGGCGCCCCCCCGGGCCCATTTTGTCCTCGCAGCGACGGGGGACTTCCGTGGCTGTGCGTGTTGGCTCTATCAGGAAAAGGCAGCGCCCCGCCTGCGTCGCGCGCGCGTGCCCTCCCCGGGCGCGCTTTCCCGGCTGGCGGGCCCTCTTTTATCCGTGGCGTCGACCTAAGCGTAACGGACATAACGCTGCGCTCATGGCGCGCAGGGCTTCATCCCCTACTTCACTTTCCCCGCGGGTACACCTGAGCGAGAGGCTTCAAGGATATGACGAATAACTACTTATCACTATGGTTAAATATTTGTCGATTTCATCGAAGGACTGGCAAACGTTTCCGGGGCTCTCTTGGAACCGCCGGGGGCCGACGAGGATTTCCTGACACCTCGCAGGGGGTGGCGGTCCGGACCCAGGGGTAGGGGGTTGGTGGAGGGGGGGCTCACCTGATGGGGAATATCGGGGTTAGCAAAACGAGCTCCGTAGACCACTCGTGCCCAGAGGTCTGGTGGGATGTTAGAACGAATGTGCGCGGCGCTAGGGCGAGAGCAACATTGTGAAAACGACTTGTGCCCCATCCGTGGAACTGTTGCACATTTGAAAGACGAGTGTGCGCGGCGCTGAGGCGATGGCCACAGTTTAAACACGACCTGTGCTCAACTAGTGAAGCTGCTGCGAACTTGTGGCGCTAAGGCGAGAGCGGTAACATGTTGAAAACCACCTCCTTCCCATATGTGAAGCCTTTGCAAACTATTAGGCGATACCCGCAATTATACTCCCCTTTCCATCAGTGCAACTGTCACAAGTGTCAAGTTTCGTGATCATGCGTGGGGAGGAAGTCTCAGGCGCAACGCCCAGCCCGCCTTAGTGACGCGCTTGGGGGTGCGACAGGGAGGAGTTGTCCAATCACTTCGCTCATTCTGCTGGCCCAGATTATTTCATCGCGGGCGTTTGCCCGTGTGTTCGTTGCTACTGCGGCGCTGATGGGTTTTGGGAGTTCGCATGACATGTTGCATGGGCAATCGTGGGCGTCTCGCGGCATAGGGCTCGAAATGACTGTTCGTGTCGTTTTTTTTTTTTGTTTTTTTTTGTTTTTGCTTTTTTTGGACTCACCTTTTGGCCCTCTTAGGTCCTATTGACACTTGCCTGCCTCCCGCGGGGATAACCCATGGGGTCTCTTGGTTGGGGGCACCTTGTGGGGTCATTCGCGGCCTCGTGTGGGGGGGCTGTTGGCGTTTTTCGGGGGTCTATTGGAGGTCACTTGGGCTCCTCGTAGGAGGTTTTTTGGAGGCGTGGGGGGCCATTTGTCAGGGAATAGTTCGAAGTTTCAATTCGTGTTCCTTCTTTTCGGACGCCCTTAGGCTTCTGGGGGGCTTCTAGGGCAGCCTTGGGGCCCGTGTGGGCCATCTCATGGCCGTCTTGGGGGCCTTTTGGCTTGGATCCTGAACTGACATGGTGGTAACGCCAAAATCTTCCAACAACTTCAGCAAAGTCAATCATTGTCGGCCTCTTGGGGACCTCTTGGAGCTGTATTTGACCAGTCGGCAGCCTTGTGGGAGTATATGGAGTCCACCGTGGAACCTGCTACGCATGGATCCCGTCTCGAATGACCTCGTGGAACTCCCTTGGGGTCCCTCGGGGCGCTCCTGGGGTGCTCTTGGGGAGTTGAAGCCCACCCCCAGGAATTCTGGCATCCGTGGCATCGACCGCCCGTGTACTGCCGGGGGAACGCCCGGTGCACTTTTCGTGCCGTGCTGGGACCCCAGGGGCCGCCACGCGCTCGCGAGCCAGAACCATCGAAACCTCTCGCGATGGATTTTAACGGATTTTAGCGCGCCTCCGGCCCGGTCGGCTGGTGGGCCCCAGGCTCCGCCACACGAATGTGTACACACACTCACCCTCCAATAGATTGTTCCTGGGCCTGAGGGGAGGGTGGCGGTGCGTATAAATCACCACTGAGAGCCAGCGACTTTCTACACCGCCGCCCTCCCTGAAGGCACATGTAACATTAGTCGGAGGGTGTCTGTGTATATATGTGTGTATATATATATATATATATATATATATATATATATGTATATATTCATTTATTTATTTATGTATATACACACATATATACATATTTGGTAGCCCCCCCCCACATGATCATACATGTTCGTCTTATTCTTGATCGTCGTCGCTCCTCCTCCTCCTCCTCCTCCTCCTCCTCCTCCTCCTCGCGGCGCTCTCGGTGCAAGGAAACGCTGTGTATTTTTGGTTTTTGTGGTTTTTTTGGTCTGTGAAGCCACGAAACACTGTGTATTTTTGGTTTTTTTGGTTTTTTTGGTTTTGCAAGCCCCCATGCTCGCCGCGGCCGCCCTCCCAGCGCCCCTCTCTCCGCCTCCCCAGACCAGAAAAACCAAAAATACACAGTGGTTGGCGCCCCTGGTGCAAGGAAACGCTGTGTATTTTTGGTTTTTGTGGTTTTTTTGGTCTGTGAAGCCACGAAACACTGTGTATTTTTGTTTTTTTTGGTTTTTTTGGTTTTGAGAGGCAGAGAGAGGGGCGCTGGGAGGGCGACCGCGGCGAGCATGGGGGCTTGCAAAACCAAAAAAACCAAAAAAACCAAAAATACACAGTGTTTCGTAGCTTCACAAACCAAAAAAACCAAACAAACCAAAAATACACAGCGTTTCCTTGCATCGGGGGCGCCAAACACTGTGCATGCTTGCTTTCTTTCTTGATTCGGGAGGCACAGAGACAGGTGCTGGGAGGGTCTATTACTACTACTACTACTACTACTACTACTACTACTACTACTACTACTACTACTACTAAACGCTGTGTATTTTTGGTTTTTGTGGTTTTTTTGGTCTGTGAAGCCACGAAACACTGTGTATTTTTGGTTTTTTTGGTTTTTTTGGTTTTGAGAGGCAGAGAGAGGGGCGCTGGGAGGGCGACCGCGGCGAGCATGGGGGCTTGCAAAACCAAAAAAACCAAAAAAAACAAAAATACACAGTGTTTCGTAGCTTCACAAACCAAAAAAACCAAACAAACCAAAAATACACAGCGTTTCCTTGCATCGGGGGCGCCAAACACTGTGCATGCTTGCTTTCTTTCTTGATTCGGGAGGCACAGAGACAGGTGCTGGGAGGGTCTATTACTACTACTACTACTACTACTACTACTACTACTACTACTACTACTACTACTACTACTACTACTACTACTACTACTACTACTACTACTACTACTACTACTACTACTACTACTACTGTACACCACTACTACTACTACTACTACTACGATTCCTGGTGCTGCTACTATTTCTAATGCTTCTACCCCTACGACTACTACGACGATTTATGTAATTTTTTATTTTTATTGCGATTACTACTGCTACGACTGTTGCTACTAGAACTACTATTACTACTCCTCCTCCTCCTCCTCCTCCTCCTACTACTACTACTACTACTACTTCTATTGCTAGCGCGACTACGGCTACGACCACGACGGCGACGACGACTACTACTACTACCACTACTGATATTACTGCTACGACTACTGCCAGTACTACAGCTGCGACTGCTAGTGTTACGATTACTACTGCCATTACCGCTGCGACCACTACCACCATTAGTACTATTACTAATTTTCTATTACGGTTACGGCGATTACTACTACTACTACTATTTCTATTACTACTACTACTACTACTACTACGACTACTACTACTAGTACTACTACTGCTACCACGTCTATTTTTATTTATGTACTACCACAACTACTACCACCACCACCACTACTACTATTACTATTACTACTACTAAGACTACTACTATTACTACTACAACTATTCCTACTAGTGCTACTAGTACTTCGACTCCTACTACTCCTACTGCTACCTCCTGCTACTACTGCTACTGCTATTACTACTAGTATTACGACGACGACATCTGCTACTACTACTACTACTACTACGACCACCACTACTACCACTACTACTGCTATGGTTCCTGGTACTACTACTATTTCTATTGCTCTTACCCCTGCTACTACTGCGACGATGCCTGTTATACCATGTTTATGTTTATTGCGGATGCTATTACGATTGTTGCTACTAGAACTACTACTCTTATTATTGCTGCTACTACTGCTACTACTACTACTACTACTACTACTACTACTACTACTACAAGTGCTACTAACACTGCTACTACTGCCAGCGCGACTACGGACGGCTACGACTACGGCGGGGGCTGCTGCTACTACTACTACTACTACTTCTACTACTACTACTACTACTACTACTACTACTACGACTACTCTTCCTACTAGTGCTACCACTGATATTACTGCGGCGACTACTACCACTACTACAACTACGACTACGACCATTACGATTACTACTACCATTACCACTACGGCCACTGCTACCACTATTACTACGACTAATTCTACTACGACGGCTACTACTACGGCTTCTACTACTGCTACGGAAGAGCGACGGAGAGCGGGGAGCAGATGAGGGAGGGGAGAATATGTATGATCATGTGGGGGGGGGCAAGCACATATTTATATACATATATGTATGTATATATTACTATGGCGTGCAGCTGAGCAGTGCGGTTCGCCCTGTTGCCGGGGATCCGGCGCGAGTCTCCTCCTCCGCGCCGGGACCCTCTGCGCAGGTGGTGCGGCTCGCGAAGCCCTCTGCCGAGGTGAGGTACGTCGGCAAAGAGGGCAACGTCAGCACCGAGAAGATGAAGGCGCGGCTCCGTGCGAATGTCCCCGGGCGAGGACCGTAGCAGCAGCGCCTGCCCATCCCGAACAGGGCCCGCTGTCCGCGCCGCCGCGTCATCGACTGGACGTAGGAGTGACCCTTCGCCGGAGTGACCTTTGGTGCGGGCAGAGATGGGCCCCCAGATGGCCCATCGCGAAGCGGTAGCAGCGGCTAGCGCGCCTGGATTTGGCCTCCCCGCGGCCCCCCAAAAGCCGCGCACCAAAGGTCACTCTTACCCAGGGTCACTCTTACGTGTCCCCGACGTCAGTGGTCCACCTGGGCCGGGCGTTGCCTGCCTGGCAGGGGCCGCGGCTAGTTTTTGGACAACGCCCGATGCTTGGCATCGCGCCCGCTCTCTCCCTCGGGCATGGGAGTGACTTCCCGTGGCAGGCGGTCCCGACCTGCCCGGCGAGCTGCTGCCTTTTTCTGTGGGCCCTCCGAGGGCTTGACGACGCTCTCAGTGTGCGTCGAGGGACAGCTGAAGTCGTTAAGCCCTCAACGACTCGGGGCGAATGTGCGACCGCCGCTGGCTGCCGCCCCGTGCTTGGGCGGCGCCGCGCTGCAGACGTCGAGGGGATTGCCATCGATCCTGTTGGGGCATTCCTGAACTGCTCTTTAGCAGATCACTCTCCAGGCATCGGTGCTCAGGATGGCAGGTATCTCGGTCTGGCTCTGACCCCCGCTGTACCCCTTCCGCCCAAGCATCCCCCTCGCTTTCTCTCCCTGCCCTTGCCTCCGCTGCCCGTCTGTAATGCCAATCCCCGTCTCTCTCTCTCTGTTTACGGTAGGTCCATGCGGCGATGGCGCGCCAGCGACGCCAGCGAAGGCGTTCAAGGTTGAACGCCGAGTGGTAGAACGACGCGGAACCACCGAGAGGCATCAGGATTCGACGGAATTCAACCTTGAAAGATCGGGGCCGCGATCGGTTCAAGGTTGAGCGATCGACGCGGTGGCAAAATAACCTTTGCTCATGCCGACGCCGCACGAGCCTACCGTGTTCGTGCATGTTCAACCTCACTCGAATTCGTGCATGTTCAACCTCACTCGAGATTGTGCATGTTCAAACTCACTCGAATTTGATACTCTTCAGTTCTGCAGTCTCTGTCTTCTGTTCTTCAGTGGGGGGCCCGCTTCTGCCGCGGCCGCCCCAGAGGCACAGCAGGACGACATTGGCGCGCAGCTGGTCGCCCTGGCGCGGCAGGGCCTCTCCGTGTGCCGTCTCAAGGAGTGCCGGTTTGGCGGCAGCCGGGAGCCTTGCGACGGGGGGTCAATGCAGACGGCGTCAGCCAGAGCACGGGATCTTGCAGGATCCTTCCAGGAACCCGCGATAGTGGCGACAGTTTCGCACTTCGCAGCCCCCCCTCCTAGGGGGCCGCGATGTCCCAACTGGATCCCCGTACAACGCCATTCCGCGCGACCTCCCAGGAACCCACAGAGCCAGGGGTGCAGTGACCTGGGCTTGCGCGCAGGATCCTGCAGCATCCTGCAAAGCCTGATTGACCCGACCCGGGTTTGCGTTGACCCGGGTCAGTGCGGCCCCGAGGCTGGCAGGTTTGATCTTGATTGCTGCTGCTGCTGCTGCTGCCGCTGGCGCTGCTGCTGCCGCTGCCGCTTCCTCTGGATGTCACCCACCTCGTCCTACCCTCCTGCTCCTGCATATGTTGATGATGATGCCTTGTATCCTCGGGCTGTTCCTCTGCCCACCACCCTCTCTCTCTCTCTCCTGGCCACCTCCCTTCTCTTCTTCTTCCTCCCCTCCTCAGGAGGTCTCTGAAGGCCTCGTGAGGCCCCCAGGGTCTCACAGAGGCCCCAAAGGGCCAACGACGCTCAGGACCCAGATCTTGTATGTCACCACCAGACAGGATGGGGACGACGTATCCGCGGACGACCCGTATGCACCGTACCGCGATGGCGTCTCCCGCGACGTCGTCGACCCTCGACCCAGGAATGGTACGGTGCATGGTGTTTCCGCCCTCAGAGCCGAAAACGCACGCACCGTACCGCGTTGAGAGTCCAAATCCGATACAGTGTCTTGGCGCCATTCTTTACGTTGCATCTTCGGGGGACCTCGCCTGTCCCCAAATTGATGTCTTTTCTTATGCCCGACGCGGGCTCGATGTGGACTCGGCGCGGATTTGGCGTGAGTTCGACACGGATTCGACACGGATTCGACACGGATCCGACGAAACGGACATGGATTCGACATGGATTCGACGCGGATAGGACCGCCCCCCCGAGGATGCAGCATAACGTACCGCGTTGGGAGCCCAAACCTGATACGGTGCCCGCGCGCCGTTCTCGTGAACGTAGTGAGGCTCTGAGCTTGGCGCCCGGGGCTCGCCCACCGCGCCCGCCCTGCGCTCGCCGCGCCCCCGCCGCTGCCGCCGCGCGCCTGCGCAGCCGGCGGCACGCCGCGGGCTCTCGCCGCCAGGGTTTGCCTGGCGTCGGTGGTCCGTCGTCGGCCGTCGGCCGTCATCCGTCGTCGTCGTCGTCGTCGTCGTCGTCGTCGTCGTCGTCGTCGTCGGTGGTCCGTCGTCGTCGTCGGCTGTCCTTCGTTCGTCGTCCGTCGTCCGTCGACCGTCGTCGTCGTCGTCGTCGCCGTCGGTCCGCTGACAGGGCGGCGACCCCATGATTTTCGGGCGCGTCGGAGAGGAGATGGAGGCTCGGCCCTGGGGAGCGCGGGCGCTGCCCCCTCTCCCTGCCTTCGGCCAAGCGTCGAAACATATGATAAGAAAAAACGCGCCTACGAGCGCGTCGCTGCTGTGCCTCTTCGGGAGGAGGAGGAGGAGGAGGAGGAGGAGGAGGAGGAGGAGGAGGAGGAGGAGGAGGAAGAAGAGGAGGTGGAGGAGGAGGGGGAGGAGGATGGGGAGGAGGGCCTGAGGAGGGGGGTAAGGAGGAATGTCAGGAGGAATGGGCGGAGGCGGAGGAGGAGGAGGAGGAGGCGGAGGAGGAGGAGGAGGAGGAGGAGGAGGAGGAGGAGGAAGAGGAGGAGGAGGGGTATCTCTAAGAGGGCGGGCCGAGGGGCGAGGAAGCGCCCCCACGCCTCCCTGGCCCCGCCCTCCGCCCCCGCTGGCGGGCCTCGTGGGCGGTCCGGGCGGGGGGTCCCTTCTCGCCCTCTGGCCCCATTCTTAGGAGCTCCCCCCCTTCCACGGGTACTCCAGATTTCGTAATACAAGGGAGGGGGTCTGGGCCCTCCAAGACAAGCCACTTCAGACCTCCCCCGTGAGAGAACCCTCCAGAGCATCGTCCCCAGACCCCCCAGGCCCTCCAAGATAGCCTGGAAAAGACCCCCCCCGAAATGAGACCCCCCCTCCTTTTATTACGTAATCTGGAGTACTTACTAGGAAGGTTCTGATGTTCTAGCCTCGATCACCAGGAAGAATTTCGAGCACCAGGGAAGTACCGAAGCCGGAGGGCTCTCGCGAGTCGGGCCCTGGGAGGCGATGCTCGTTCGACACTGTTTCGATACTTTTCTGGGTGCTCGATGTTATGTGGTCCTTAAGTACGATGGGAGCAACATATGCTGGGGGGAGGACCGTGCAAGCGGGGCCGCCGCGCGTGGGGCGCGCGGCGGCCTGGCCAGGCAGCATACAGCCAGCCTCGAGCTTACAGTCGACCCGCATGGTAAGGATGGGCAGCTTTCCCAAGGGTGCCCTTGCCCTCCTCCTCCTCCTCCTCCTCCTCCTCCTCCTCCTCCTCCTCCTCCTCCTCCTCCTCCTCCTCCCTCCTCCTCCTCCTCCTCCTCCTCCTCCTCCTCCTCCTCCTCCCCCCCCCCCCTCCTCCTCCTCCTCCTCCTCCTCCTCCTCCTCCTCCTCCTCCTGCTCCTTCCCCTCCTCGGTCCATCCTTGGCCACTTTCGTTGCCCGCCCCCCGCTCGAGAAGCTTCGGGATGGCCTTCCAAGGCCCTTGCATGCTTACCGCGCATCCTTCTGATACGGGCCGACTGTATCCCTACCCATACGGCCGCCCTTCGGGTGATGAGGAGGTTGGTCGGGGGAAAGGAAGAGCCGACCGACGACCACTGCGACGACGGTGGTGATTGCGACGCAGCTGGTGCTGGGCCCTCTTGTCGGCGGCGGCGCGTGGCGACGACGCCGCGTCGCCTCGCCCGCACGCACGACACGAACCCGAAGCCGAAACACCGATTTCCTGGAGGAGGGCTCTCCGTTCCACGTCGATCTCACGCCCCCGCCCTCCGATCCCTAAGGTTGGCAAATCAAACGGCGATGACAATCCTAGGGATGCGCCCTCAGAAGCTGTGGGTCATCCTTTAGATCGGCATCGAGATAAGGCGATGCCAATCGGTAGGGATAGGGGTATGCTTCGGGCTGGTAAACATGGCGTCTGCGTCCAGGCTGTGCCCGACCGACCCCCCCCAAAAAAGAGGCACTCGTCGCCGCTGGCGTGCCGTACGAGGTGGTGCCTGCAGTGACCGCGGCGCTGGCGGCTGCCGCCGACGCCTCGGTGCCGTTGACCTTCAGGAACGCCGCGACTTCGTTGCACGTGCACACGATGAATGCGACGTACACGAAGGACCGTCACAGACGACGAAGACGACAGCAATGACGCCAGAGCCAATGGCGACGGCGATCCGGAGAGATGAATGAGGAAGAGTAAGAAGGGGAGCATCAACATGAGGAGCAGCGGGAAGAGCGGATGCGGATGAGGAGGACGATGATGCTACATTTGACGTTGTTGCTGATAGATGTTGTTTGTGGTTACGACGACGATGGTGATGCGACGATACTGGCGACTCTGATGTTATGTATGATGATATGACTGTTATGATGATATGACTGATACTGGTGATGTTGATGGTGATGATGATGCTGATGCGGCTGATTAGGACGGTGATGCTGGTGATCCTGCTGCTGCTGCTGCTGATGATGATGATGATGATGATCATGCTGACGTCTACGATGGTAATGCTGCTGATGATGGTGGTTGCGCTTGTGGTGGTGATGATGATCAGTATGATGATGCTAATGCTTGTGATGCTCATGATGATGTTGATGCTGACGCTGATGCTGATGCTGATGCTGATGCTGCTGCTGATGCTGCTGCTGATGAGGATGATGAGGATGCTGATGCGTATGCTGATGCTGCTGCTGGTGATGCTGACGATGCTGCTGATGATGCTGCTGCTGATGATGCTGCCGATGATGATGATGATGATGATGATGATGATGATGATGATGATGATGATGATGATGATGATGATGCTGATGATGATGACGATGATGATGGATGATGATGATGCTGAGGATGATGACGATGATGATGGATGGTGATGATGCTGATGATGATGATGTCGATGATGATGCTGATGATGCTGATGATGATGATGCTGATGATGATGCTGATGATGGTGATGATTCTCCAAATAGGCTTACCCTACAGGAGTCCTAGATCATCATGAGTAATTGGTCTTTGGGACCCCCCCTTTTTTCCAATGGCACCCCCCCTTATTTCCAATGGCCCCCCCCTTCCCCCCCTTTGCCAATGACACCCCCTTATTTCCAATGGCACCCCCCTTGCTATTTCCAATGGCGAGTCTCATTGATTCCTATGGTTTCAAATGAGTCGTATGTATTCCTATGCCTATGCCAATGCGTATGTGCCAATGCCTATGCCAATGCCTATGCGTATGGAGTCCTTTTGATCCTGAGCTAGGATTCCTATGTATTCCTATGGATGCCTATGCCTATGCCAATGCCAAGGCCTATGCCTACGCCAATGCGTATGCCAATGCCAAAGTAATCCTCTCCTCCCGTCCTCTCCTCCTCGTCTTCTCCTTCTCTCGCTCTTCTCCCATCCATTTATTTATTTGGAATCAACGCTTGCTGATATGATGGTGATGATGATGCTGATGCTGATGCTGATGCTGATGCTGCTGCGGATGATGATGATGATGATGATGATGATGATGATGATGATGATGATGATGATGATGATGATGCTGATGCTGATGATGATGATGATGATGATGATGATGATGATGATGATGATGATGATGATGATGCTGTTGATGATGATGACGATGATGATGATGATGACGATGATGATGCTGACGCTGATGCTGCTGCTGCTGATTATGATGAGGAGGGTGGTGACTATAAATGGTGGCGGTGATAAGGGTGACGAGGTGCTGCGAGACCTTGTGTATGCCACTTCAGCCCGCCCTCTTGGGGCTATGGGCGGAGAAGAGTGTCGTGGGGCGACCCCGCCGCCTGTACTCCACTGTTTCATCACCGACGCGGTGACCGATGGGATCACCCACTAAGCAATGACCTGGCGATTTCAGAGCTCACTAACAACCTTCTGTGAGAATGTGAACAAACATTGTAAGCCTCAATGAGCGTCAAACCCGATGCAGGACCGCTGAGCGGTAACGTCAGGCGCATGCAAGAGCAGTGGATGCTGGGGAAAAAAACGAGAGAACACGCCACGGCAGGCAAGTCGGGAGGCGAAGGGATCGGAGAGCGGCGAGAAACTGGACAGCACGCGAGAAGATGCGTCGGAGCCAGCGATGGGCTCGGTAAGCGAGCGGCGAAGTAGGAAACGGGTGGCCAGTGGCCGAACAAAGCGTTGTCCTTTCGACAACATGAGCCGCGAAACATGGTCAGCTTGATAAGCATAGCGAGCGAGGAGTCAGGACAAAAGGCCAACTGACAGGCACAGTAAAGGTGGTTGGTAAGCCAGCCACGCCTGGCCTATGCAGAAGCGTGCCGCTGCTGTGGTCGAGCCGCCTGAGCGAAGGCCATGGGCGATGGGAAGCCTCCAGCAGTGTGGGTCCGAAGACCCGCTGGGCGGGAATGGAAGCTGGACGGCGTGAGCAGGCCCGGCAAGCCTTTTATCAAGCGAACGAGGTGTGTGTATGAAAGGCCAGAGCTAGACATCACAGGTGCGGTGCGCCCGCGACACCGCCCCGCGTTCGCTGCCAGGGGCTGCCCTGCGGCCTGGCAGCCCCGCGCGCCCCCCGCGGCCTCGCCGCAAGAGGGCGCCTTCCCCCTCCTCGTGTCTCTGCGGCCGGCCCTTCTTTTTCCCTCTTCCTCGCGCGTGCGGGACAATTCGCAACGCCGTAACCCAGGCTGCTTGGACGGGCGAGCGGATGGCATCCGCCGCGCCGCGACGGAAAAGTGTTGCACCATGTCTGCTCTGCATGCGCTCATTTTTTTCTCGTGCAGTCGCACCGCTTGTGGACCAGGGCGCCCCCGACGCTACACCTCGCGCCTCCCGGGCGCGGTCGCATGAGCATACTGGCGCGCGCCGCCTGCGCCAGCAGCGTCTGTGGCTTCCCTGGCCTTCAAGCCAATCTCGGCGCTGGCCCTGCTGGATTACTCTGGTGTTCAAATCGGTAGCTAGATCCTCCACCATTGCCAAGCCTTCAGTAATGTATATACGGGCCGTGGCCTTGGATCGCCATCGCCCGCGCTCGGCTGTCAGAGATCTGGCCGAGTTGGCTGTAATGGTGCGTCGCGCCTCCTCTCCTCACACTGTATGGCTTCCTGTAGTGAGGGTCCCCCTGGATGGCCAAGAGCAGGGCTTCGAAAGTTGCGCGAAAGTCACGGGCTCCAAGGGGCTGCGAAGGAGTGCCCGCGGGTCGCCCCAGAAGTTGCTGCCGCAGGAGGGCCACAGCCAGGGGCAATCACAGACCGCCGTCTCTGGAGCCCCGAGCCTCCTGCCCGATTTAGTGAGTCCCAGGTTGACTACGCAAGAGGCTTGCCTCTCGCTGAAAAGGAAGTCGCCCGCGGTCCTCATGAGCTCCACTGGCCTCAAGACAGCTCTGAAACCCAGAAGCAGCGCGGCGGCCATATCTGGCCTTCAGCGCTCCAGAGCAAAACCCGTCATGGCAAGCGCCTGCCGTGACAGCCCAGCCGCGGGGGCGCCCTGCTCGGCACCCCATGGCGGTCCCACGTTCTGAGGAGTTGCCACGATAGCTTGAGCTCGCCACGAAGGCTCGGGGAAACACGTTGCAACCCGCATATCGAGTCTGCCGCGCGCCCTCGCGGCGCGCCCTCCTCCCATCAGTCTTCCACAACATTTGCTAACGATTCGTCCGTAACCGTGCGGCTACAGGCAGGGTCGAAGTCGTTGACGCCGAGCCGCTCGAAGTAGCGACGAAGTGCAAGGTGATGACGCTGAAGCGTGCGGGGCTGCAGCTGCAGCTCCCGAGGCGTGCCCATGGGTCGTCTCCTCTGCTGCGTCGTCGCCCTGTCTCGCCCTTTTGTCGCGCTCCTCGGCGTAGCTGTTGGCGCGAGGGGCGGTCCGCAGGGTTCGCGGCGGAGCGGGCGACGACAACATGCGGGCGCTGCGAGGCGGCGAGGCAGAGGGCAGCGATCCGGGCAAAAAACAGGACGCAGCCGATGTGCTTTGGCGCGCTCCTTGGCGCGCGCGCCCTGGCGCGCCCGGCCGTCGGTGGCGTGGGCGATCCTGGAGTGGATGTTGGAGCGCCTCTGGGGCCTCCGGCGGGAAGGCGCCCATATGGCGCGCATCTCGAGCGCGTCGATGTGCTCGCCCGACTGTGTGTAAGAGAGACATGCTCTCTGACGCCGTCGCCGGGCATCGAGGCCTCGTCGCGGCCGGGAGGCGGGACCTCGCGTTCCCCCGCGCGGTTGGCGCACCGCGCGCCAGGGCCTGGGCAAAATGTCGGTGGAACCTCTTGGCGCGCTTGCCGCTGTCGCGAGCTCCGCCGTCGCCCTCGAACCGCAGCGGCAGCCGCGCAGGTTGGCCCCGCGCGCCGCGCCCACGCGCGGCGGTTCCGTCCGAAGACCGAGCGCTCGCGTCGAGGTGGCCACCGCGAGCCCGGCAGGAAGAGGGGCGGCTCGGCGAGGACCACTGGGGCCCGCAGCCGGCCCTCCTGAGCCGCAGACAGCTGTGCAACCTCCAGCTGAAGACGCCCTCGACGAAGTCCCACGGGAAGCCCAGTCGAACAGCAGCGCCTCCTCTACGCTGAACGGGCCCGCGACGCCGCCCGGTGCAGCGCTTCGCCGCAGCTCCGCCTCGTACTCGGGGGGTTCGCGCCGCTGAGCCCATGGGCGCCGCGCCCCCTGCGGCTCCTGGGCGGAACCGGGCGCGGGCCAGCTCGGCCAGAAATTGCGCTCGACCTGCGCGGGGCCACAGTGCGCGCCGCGAAGCAAGCTGGCCGGCACCCTCAGGATGTCGCTGAGCAGTTGGGCACGAGCACGACCCATCAATCCAGGACTTGAGTGCGGGAGCTCCGCCAACAACTGGCCACCAGCCTCGCGAACGAGACGCTCCTTCAACTCCTCCGCGCGGGCTAGCGTAATTATCCCTGCGCTCGCCTCCGGGCATCGCGGCCTGGCTCGGCGTTTAGCGCCAGAACTCGAAGGCCTCCTCCACATCCCCAGATATCATCGGGACGGGTAGTTCCTTACGTACCTCCCAGTCCTTGGGCAGCAGACCCAAGGTTGTCTCGGGGGCGCGCGCGGCCGACCGACTGGCGTCGCCGAGCGGGGGACCTGCGACCGCCGCGCTCGGGTCGCACTGGGCGCGTCATGCCAGCAGCCGGCGATGGCAATGCTGCATAATGCCCACTCGCCAGCTTCCATCCCATGGGAATCGTCACAGCGCCCAGATACACCGTCGCGTTGGGCTCGCGGCTGGCCAGCCCCAGCTCTCCTGCTGAGAACGGGTGAGCAAGTGCAAAGTGATGGGCCCACGCCGTCGGGGGCCGAAAGAGATAGAACGCGCCTTTGGGATCATCGGATCGTCGGATAGTTGCGCGTCTGGGTCCAGACACAACGCTCGCCGCATCCCGAAGTTTGGCATTTGCTTGATGTCGCCGTCGAGGTCCTGGAAGGTGCCGTTGGACCTGGGAAGGTTCATGATCAAATATCGGCGGCGGAGGAGGAGAACCGTTGGTCGTTGGACGTGGCGCGGCGGAGGTCCTTGGGTTTCGCTGCCACCAACCCCGCGTGGGACAGAGAAGTGGCCAGGGGCAGGTACGTAGACGACCTCCTCTGGGTGAGCTCTGTTTACTGCTGGGCGTGCATGTGCGAGGCTGTTCATGAAATGTATTCGGTGCCGTTCGAAATTGCTCGACAAAGTCACGTTGCTGATTGGCTTGACGTTCAGCTAGACCTCGCGAGCCACGCGTGGCGCATGGCCCCCAAAGAGGTTGTGCTGCCGCCCCCGTGGGCCGCGTCCCGGGGCTACGCGCGCGGCCTGGTCCTGGGCCGGTTGCACCGTTGGTCCGAAGTCGGCCTGGTAGAAGCTGCGTGGGTGGAAGCAGCTGCGCACCTCATGCTGCGCTTCCGCTCGGCAGGCTGGCCGATGCGTGTCCTGAGGGCCGTTTGCCACCAATGCTCCCATGCTTTGTCGCGCCATCAGCGTTCATTGTTGCTGTCTGTCGTGACGAGCGTCTGGCGCTGACACCCCGCTGTCATGGGTCAGGCGCAGGGCTCGCACATGGACGTTCTTCCATACATTAGCAGTACGCACGGCGGTGTGCACGCAGGTTCGGGTTTGCATGTTGACTGGTTTTTTGATGATCCTAGGCGCATTGATGAGGTTCCTCCCCCATGCCCGTCGGCTGGTCGGCCGGAGACCTTGAGGGCTCGATCCGTGCCGCTGCTCCCCGGCGTCGCATTCCCAGGCCGAGATGGCGCCGCTGCTTGGGGCGCTCCTGCTCGCCTGCCCGGTCGCCGTGGCGGCCGGAAAGGGCGGCGGCGGCAAAGGATACGCTTCGTGGGGGAGTTCAGGGAGCTCCGGTTCTGGCTGGGGCCATGGGCGTGAATGGGGTTCAGGACAGGGCTACCAGAGTGGCCTGGCCCACAAGGTAAATGAGTTGTGCGAAGCTGTTGACAAGCTGACGAAAGACAGAAAGAAGAAGAAAAAGAAACGTGACCCTTCTAGCTCCACGTCGTCCTCTTCGAGCTCATCCGAAAAGAAAAAGAAAAAGAAGAAGGGCAAAAAGGAGAAGAGTGGCAAGAAGGAGCGGAAGGTGCCGAAGTCCGGAGTAGACGAGGCGGAACGTAAGGAGCTTGCAGAATTCCGGCGCCAGGCAGAGGTTCAGCGCATCCGGGAGGAAGTGCTGGCGAGCGCGGCCTTCGTGCCCCCCACCGGCGGCGGTGGCTCTCAAGGAGGAGCGCGCCGTCAGGCCGAGGCTCCTCTCTCGCCCAAGACGCTGCGGGCCGTGCACGCGGAGACGCGCCTCATGGAGCCCGGGGGCACCGTCAAGCAGCTGGTGTCGAAGGGTGCCGATACGTGGACCGCGGTGCAGGAGGAGTTGCAGGCGCAGGCCCTCCCGGACATCAAGAAGCTCCTTGGCCAGATTCATCCAGGAGGTGCCGACGCCGTGCCCCGGACGCGACACGAGGCAGTCAAGGCTCTTATGGCAGCCCTCCAAGGCGACGCCTGAGACGACGAGCACGCAGTGGTAGTTGACTGATCCACTCCACGCGGACCTTCCCACTCTGGCAGGGCTGCCCAGTCCAACGGTACGCTCGCCCAGGTGCGGCCCACTACCGTCATCATAGTCGTTGTTGCCCTCTTCGTGGGTGCACTCGCTGGCATGTTCATGGCTGGGGCCGCGGAGCCACAGTGGTTGCCTCGGCCATTCGCCCGGGCGTGGAGGTACGTGTCTGCCCTCAAGGTGGTAGCCTGGGACGAGCAGTACTTCTCCGGCTGGCTGGAGCATGTGAGTGGCGTGCCGATCCTTTCTGCCTCTTCTGGCGCTCTGTTTGTTCTCTTTGGCTATGCCCGGAGGGAGGCGCCCGAGTCCGGGGACGCGGGGAATTCACACCAGGGTGCTGGGCGGCCTGGCCGGCGAGCCCGAAGGGGGCTCTCTTACTTACCTCGGGGGCCCCTGGGTGACGCGTGGGACCTCTACAGTACCTCGGGGCACCCAGGCGACGCTCGTCGATTGAATTCGTAAGCTCGCGCTGGTGACCCAAGCCCCGCTCAGTGCACGCGTGCTCCGACGGGGGGCTTGGCGAGTTGCGCGGCCATCGTATTCAGAGGTGTCGGCGCGCCGAGGCGCCTGCAATCGGCGGGGGGTCCCAGGGCATTGGACCGCCGCCGATATTTGTCCCTTCTTCCTCGCTCTTCCCTCCCTTCCATTCCTTCGTCCTCCCCCCCCCCCCTCCCGCCGAGAGCGTCCAAAGCACTCCTAGGTATTCCAGTGGTGCTCGTTCTCTTGCTTCCAGCGCGTGTCTTCACACGGCACCCGCGCAGTCTTTGGCTTACACTGTGTTGCATCGTTCTGCACGCGTAATCTCCGCACGGCACGCGTATAACCCTCTTGTGCAATGTAGCGTAGCAGCAGTGCACAGGATGTCAGCATGTTTTTCTGTCATTGCTCACGGGAATAAGGATGGTCAGCTTCACAGCTTTAACTCGGAATCCTCCGGCTCCACGGGGGGAGCTGGTCTGGAAGGTAGTTCGGGGCTGCCAGGTGCACGGATCCAGGAGACGTAGAGCGTGCTCCGGGAAGGGCTTCTCCGGAGCACGTTATTCAGGGTCGCCTGGCAGCCTTCATAGGCCCAAGTGGCTGCCCATCGCGGGCGGCACGGGGTGCTAGCAGCATACCGGGTGCTCACGGAATCCCCCAGACCCGGCACTTGGGCAGGGGAGGAGCGAGCTGTTTCGCGCAAGGGTGAAAAAACAGTCCAGCGCTCCGACCATTCTTGCTTACTCCTTACTCCTCCGCCTCCTCCTCCTCGTTCCTCCTCTTCCTCCGCCTCCTCCTCCCCCTCCGCCTCCTCCTCCTCCTCCTCCTCCTCCTCCTCCTCCTCCTCCTCCTCCTCCTCCGCGCGCCCCCGACTGTGGCTTTCTGCAGCCCTCTTCCTGGCCTCTGCTGTCTCGTCCTTACCTTTTGGGGGTTCCGAGGGGCCTTCGCCGCCAGGGGCCACCTGGCCACCTGGGGAGGAAGTCGAGGCCGCTGCACCTCCCAGTCGGCCGCCCGTCCTCTTGGCACCGAGGCGATTCCTGAGGTCCGTCATGCGCTGACCTACCTCCGCGCCCTCGCCTCCACGACAAGCCGCCGATACACCTCCCCCCGCCTCCCGGGGCGTTTCCCCGGGGCTGGGCTCCTCCCCAGCGGCTGCGCTCGCCCCAATGGTCATGCCGGACCGCGGGCGGTCGAGGGGGTCGACGTCGGTCGAGGGCTGGCCTTTGAAGACCCTGCTCCCGGGGCGTTTCCCCGGGGCTGGGCTCCTCCCCAGCGGCTGCGCTCGCCACAATGGTCATGCCGGACCGCGGGCGGTCGAGGGGGTCGACGTCGGTCGAGGGCTGGCCTTTGAAGACCCTGAGCTCTCCCTCCTGGAGGAGCCTCCACACGTCAACGTACGCCTCTCCTGGAGATGTTGTAACCGCACTTCTTGCCGGAGTTGCCGCAGAAGTGAAGCGCAGGGCTGCGCTGCGGATCGAGGAACCGACGGTAGTAGCGGTCCTCATCGGCGGCCTTCTCCCCTTCCAGCCACTGGGCTCGATGAGCAATCCCATGCAGCTCTTCCCAAAAGTTGAAACAGCCTTTGAAGCCGCTGGGCAAACGGATGGCCACGTGGTCCCCAGCCCCAGCGGCCTGGCCATCAGCCCAATACCACCCACGGTACTCGGCGGCACCTGGGTTAGCCTTCTCGTGCACGACCACCGTCTTGCCCAGCCTCCCGAAGCCGCGCGTGGTCGAGCCACGGCGCGCGCGCCTCGGGGTCGGGGAGGCGGCTGCTCCTCCTGCCAGCCTGGCGTCTCCTGCCCCTCGCGCCGGGGGGGCGAGCACGCCCTGCAGCCAGAGAGGGGGCGCCTGTGCTTCCTCGTCCTCCACCTCGACCTCGCGAGCGAGGTCGGTCGCTGCCCGCGGCTGCTGGGCGGCGAACGGCACGGCGCGACGGCACTGGGCGCCAGCCGCAAAACTGCGAGGCGACCCCTGGGCAGGGATCGCAGAACACTTGGCTCAGCATGCACAGCACTCGAGCCGCGAATGGCTCCGGACCGCTGCTGCATCCCAGCCCCGTTGCAATTACTCGAGGGGGAATGCATGTGTCAAGAGTTGGGCCGCGACGCGCGCTGTAAGCGTGCACCAGGCAGCCAAAGATGTGTGGGATGACACCCCAGCGCGCTCAAGGGCTAAATTTGGCCTTGCAGGGCGACAGATGTGGTTTGGGGGACGAAGACCCGTGTATAATACTTTTTCAGCAGTCGGGGACGCCTTCCCCAGGGCGGCTGGAACATTGGATTCCCGACGTGCCACCGTAGAGGTATAAATTTTCCGGCCGCCCTGAGGCAGGTGTGCCTGTTCCTTGTGGTTGACACCAACAACAGAATCGGCGGTTGCCTCCACCGAGGGATGATGATCCTCATCTCGCTTATGGTGGTACGATCTGGGATTCTCAGGTGGCCAGGAGATTGCCACCAGCACCGCCATCCAGGGTCATCGATGGAAGCGAGCCCCTGGTGATGGTGCCGGTGCCCTCCTCCCGGGCCCCCAGTATACGCCACGGACGCTGTCCAGGTGCGCACGGTCCAGCACACCGGGCGACAGGCAGTGCTCACGTCCTGCCTCCTCGATCCCTGGCGCGGCCCGCCGGCGCGGCGCCGTCCGCCTCCCCCGCGCAGCCCGCCGCGGCGGCACCCCCCGGACCCGAGGCGTGCCGCTGCAGCCCGGGGCCTCCCCGACGCCGACCGGGGGGGCGCCCCGCCCGCGGGCCAGGGCGGCCCGCGGTCTGCCCCGGGGGGCCGCCGCCCCGAGAGGCAGCCGCCCCGAGAGGCCACCTCTCCGAGGGGCCACCGCTCCGAGGGACCGGGGATCGGGGATCGAGGATCGATGGAGGATCGAGGATCGAGGATGGATCGAGGATCTAGGGTCGGAGGATCATCGAGGGTCATGACGAGATGATGATGATGATGATGATGATGATGATGATGATGATGATGATGATGATGATGATGATGATGATGATGATGATGATGACGACGATGCTGATGATGACGACGATGCTGATGGTGAAGCTGCTGATGATGATGACGACGCTGCTGCTGATGATGCTGATGAGGATGTCGGTGGTGCTGCTGATGATGCTGATGCCGATGCTGATGATGATGACGGCGGTTGCGATGCTGATTGCGGTTCTGAACTTAATCACAATGGTGATGTTGTTTATGATGATTCTGGCGACGCCACCGATGGTGGTTATGTTGTCCATTCTTATTTTTGTTGGCGCTAGTTATTGTTGTGATGACGGTGCCGATCATGATGATGCTGATGATGATGAGGAAGGTGACGGTTGGCGATAATGCATGGTGGTGGTATATTTCAGGACGACGGCGACGATGATGATAATGATGGTGATGATGCTAATGATGAGGATGGTTGTGTCGTTGGCGGTAAGGACTTCGATTCTTCCGTTGATGACCATGTGATGACGATCGCGATGGTAACGACAATGCCGAGGAGGTTGATTGGCGATGACGGTGGTAGTGATGATGACGACGCTGAAGTCGACCACCACGACGATGGTGATGATGGCGGTGGCGATGTTGGGTATGATTGTGATCGCGCCTCCGCCGATAAAATGATGATTTTGGTGGTCATAATGATGCTGCTGCTGATGATGATTACTATGGTAATGCTGATGATGGGTTAAGCGAAGTATCATGAGGACGATTATGATGATGATTATGATGATGATGATGACAATGATGATGATAATGCAGGCGATGGCGTTGGCGATGCTGATGCTGATGATGATGATGCTGACGATGGCAATGATGATGATGCTGATGATGATGGTGAGGAGGAGGAGGAGGAGTATGATGACGATGCTGATTGTGAGGATGACGATGCTGATGCTGCCGATGGTGATGATGATGGTGATGATGATGATGATGATGATGATGATGATGATGTTGATGGTGATACTGATGATGATGGATGATGATGATGATGATGATGATGATGATGATGCTGATGTTTATGATGATGATGATGATGATGATGATGATGATGATGATGATGATGATGATACTGATGACTATGATGATGGTGATAATGATGATGATTATGATGCTGATGCCGATGCTGATGATGACGATGATGATGATGTTGATGATGATGATGTTGGTGATGATCATCATGATGATGATGCTAATGATGACTACGATGATGACACTGCTGCTGCTGCTGCTGATGATGATGATGATGGTGATCCGGTCCTAATGGTGATGATGATGGCGACGACCGATGATGTTGATGATGATGCTGACTGTGATGATGGTGATACTGATGATGATGCTGATGCTGATGCTGACGAAGCTGCGGATTATGATGATGCTAATTATGCTGCTGATGGTGCTGCTGATGGTAATGATGACGATGATGGTGCTGGCGATGCTGCTGCTGCTTGAACTGATGATGATGATGATGATGATGATGATGACGACGCTGTGTATGCTGATGATGCTGATTATGCTGATGGTGATGCGGATGTTGCTGATGATGATGTTGATGATATTGATGATGTTGATGGTGGTGGTGATGTTGTTGCTGCATCTGATGATGATGCTGATTATCATGTTGATGATGGTGATGGTGATGGTGATGCTGCTGTTGCATGTAATGACGATGATGCTGCTGATGGTGATGCGGATGCTGATGATGATGCCGGTGATGCTGATGATGACGATGGTGGTAATGACGATGTTGATGACGATGTTGATGATGATGTTGATGATGCTGATGATGATGATGATGATGACAATGCTGACGACGACGATGATGCTGCTGATGATGATGAAGATGATGCTGATAATGATGATGATCATGGTGCTGCTGCTGATGCGGATGCTGATGTTGATGCTGCCGATCATGATAACACGCATTTCGAAGCAGAGCAGTGCAGCGCAGCGCAGCGGGAGTGACAGAGTGCGAACAGAATGAGGAGGTCGATGATGTGGCGGGAGAGTGATGGTGAGCAGCATTGTTAGGAACACGATGCCGATGTCGCGTCAACGTCATATTCCGTCATGTGTTTATGTTATAGTGTATATTGGCAGTGGTGGACGGGGGACACGACGACGATGAGGATTCGAGAGACGTTTATTTTGATGACGGTAATGGGGAGTCTTGCAATGATTTCGTTGATGACGTCGACGTCGGCCGCGATGTTGACGATGAGGCTGCACGCGACAACGATGCAGTTAAAGTTCACGGTCATGCCTATGATGACGGCGGTGATGACGACGTAGATAATGTTGACGATGGTGATGATAAGGAGGATGTAAGACGGACGGGGGAGGGCGATGACGATGCGGAATTTCATTTCGTTGCGCAACGGAGCCCTTGGCCCTGCGATGAGGACCCCAACTACGACTGGGCACAGTTCGCAGCGCCCATGAAGACGCACGCGCTGTATATGGGCCCGCGCGCCCCGCCCTCGTGGGTACGTTCTTGGGGTGAGGGGGTATGGGGACAAGGCTGAGGGTGGAGGAGGGGGACGAGGAGGAGGCGGGGATGTGGAGGGGGAGGATGATGAAGGAAGGGGGGGTGTGCGGGAACATGACCAGGGGGACGAGGGTGGAGGACGAGGGGGATTGAGATGCGGAAGGGGAGGGTGAGGGCGATGGGAATGCAGCGTTGAGGGATATGACAAGGTGGGGCGACGGAGGAGGAGGAGGATCGAGAGGCCGAGGAGGACGACCAGGAGGAAGAGGAGGATCAGGAGCAGGATGATAATGAGGAAGAGGAGGACCAGTGAAACCCACGACGCATCAATGATGTTGAGATGCGCCCTCCCTCGTAGTTGCCTCTCCATAGACCCCTACAAGACATTGCCTTTCAATGTAGGAAGTGGCGTATTGGAAGAAAGCCGTCTGAAAATTCTCAACCGTGTCAAAACAGCATCCGTGGGACTTCAACACCGCGAACCCACGTGACTGTTGCGTCCCGGCAATCCCGTTGTGAGGCGGTGGAAGAGTCCATGGTGCTGGACGCACGCTGGCAAAGAAGTTGACTCGACGCTTTGTTGGTCCTGTTCTTCTCCGCCCTCCTTGCTCCTCCCTCATTTGTTTTCCTTCTGTAGCCATTTTGGCTCAAGCCCTGTTCACGCGCCGCCCCCGACGCGCTACCCGACCATGGTAGCCACCACGAACCCTAACGTCCATGCAATGGCGGTTCTCAAGATGCTGGATCCTGATAGTCTTAAGACATGCCAGAACACTATCCCAGGGACTTCGACCATACAAGCCCTTGAACACAAACTGAAGACGAATGTGGGCGGCGCTGCGGTAATAACCACATTTCGAAAGCGATCCGCCCCCATCAGTGAAGCAGTTGCACATTTTTGAAACGAGTATGCGCGGCGCTAAGACGAGGGCCACATTTTTTTGAAAACGACCGGCCCCCATCTGCGAAACTGTTGCAACCTTTTAAGACGAATGTGCGCGGCGCTCTGGCGAGAGCCGCATTTTGAAAGCGACCCGTCCCCCCATCCGTGAAACATTTGCAAATTTCCAGCTTCAGGAAGATAATTACGTGGCGAGGAGGTTTCAGGCGAAGCGCCCGGCCCGCCCTACCGACACGTCTGGAGGTGCGACGGGGAAGAGTTATTCATAAGGAAAAGGGATGGAGGTGGAGGCGGAGGAGGAGGTGGAGGAGGAGATGGAGGAGGAGGAGGAGGAAGAGGAGGAGGAGGAGGAGCAGGAGCAGGAGCAGGCGCAGGAGGAGGCGGCAAAAGATGCCACGAAGGGCTCACGGGGCCTGGGCGAGGGCGACAAGTCGCACGCTCGCTTGGGGCCCCACAGCTTGGCGAGTGAGAAGTGGGCGCCGCGCCGAGAAGGGAACGCCACTCTCAGGCGACATCTGCGCGGCGCCTAGAAGAGAGCGACACTTCCGTCCACGCGCGCGTGGACGCAGTGGCGAGCGGAAAACATATGCGCCGCTTCGAGGCGCGGACTCAGTTCTCGGGAAGCGGGAGCGTGGTGCCGAGGCGAGAGCGGCATGTTCTTCCTTGCGCGCTTCGACTGTGCGCCCCGTCCCACTTCCCCCGCGCACTGTGTGACGGTGATGACAAAGCGTTCATGCTGGAAGGGGGCGCGCTGAGTTTGTACAGTGGAAGCCCATGCAAACAAACACGCTGCTTGCCTCAAGGGTGCCCTGGCTTTCTTGGGTTTCAGTGGTTTTGCGATGGCATCATTTTGCTGATTAGGGGAGTGGAAGGAAAGCCTTGTGTTGGGAAGGATTAGTGGCAGGAAGTCCGTGAGATGGCGACGGCAAAGCGTCGATGGTAGGAGGAGATCCTTTTAATGGGTCGGATGGGAGGAGGAGGAGGAGGAGGAGGAGGAGGAGGAGGAGGAGGAGGAGGAGGAGGCCCCTCGGATGTGGGGGCCTTCGGCTGGCTGGGTGGCAGAGGGGGGGTAAACACTGATCACATTCGCCAGGTCGAGGGAGCTGGAGGGCCAGGCCCGTTCCCACCCCCCTTCCCGCCCTCTCTCCCACAGCACAATCACCACCCACCAAACCACCCCAACCCAACCCGAAGGTTCAGATTTACCCTCGATTTCCAGTGGGGGGGGGGTCGGGAAACATAGAAAGAACACATGTGGAACCCTTACCCCCCCCAACCCGAAATTCGGGTCTTCGGGTTGGGTTGGGGTGGTCTGGTAGGTAGTCACACAAGAATCAAGTGCGGCACAGCTTGAGATTGGGATTCGAGCGCGGCGAACCCACCTAGCAAACGGAAGACGCTCGCGCGCGGTTCCGCTTCCGACGACCTTAGCGCAGGGGACGCAAGGAGGAGGGGAGGGAAGCCCTCGACGTGGATTCTAGAAGCACGCTGGGTGATTGACGGGTGCGCCGTCGCACAGGCTGCCGCCATGGTCGGAGTATACCACAGCACAGCGGTGCCGCCTCTTACAGCGGAACTGATCACAGCCGACTCTTGCACAGACTTCCCTCTTGATTTTTTCAGGCGATCGAGGCAGTTGTCGGATTCCGAGCGGCACGCCTCCTCCGAAGTCGATGGTTGGCCTGGCGTTGCCTTACGCCGCGGCGGCGAAGCAGAAGAGGGCTCGGCCACCGCCCGTCGGGGCTCCCAGTAGCCTCCGTTGCTCGGGCGGGGCGAACGGGCAGGACGGGGCACGGGGGGGGCACGAAATCTGCTGCCTGCAGCCGGTCTCCGCCCCGCCGACGGGCCCATTCCTCCTCGGGGCCTCGGCGCCTCCCGGCGCCAGCGGGCGCCAGGGAGAACGGCTACGTGCGGTGGCCCTCTACGTTGCTCTTTGCAATCCTTCGGACGGGGCCAGGACGAGGACCAGTCCGTTCCAGAGCGTTCTGGAAGGCTCGAGTCGTGGCGCCCGAGACTTCCGTCTGTTTGACCCAAAAGGGGGTCCAGCGAAAAGGGGGTGGTGCAGTAGATTTGGTGCAACAGATCTGTGGGGTCGTAGTAGACTCGGGGTGTGCAATACATTCCGGTGCGCAAATGTATTTCTGGATTTTCGCGTGCAATGCACTCGTTGCAATACAGTGCAGTAGAATTCTCTGGCGCAGTACATTTGCAATGCAACGACCCGCAAATCTATTGCACCAGCCCCGGCCAGAGGCCGCCGGATCTCGGAGGTTCCCGATTGGTCCTCACCCGATTTCATCCTCGCCTCGGCTTCGTCCAGATCCTGCCCTTTCGCCCCCCAGCGCCAGGAGGCGCCCTTTCGTCCAGATCCTACCCTTTCGACCCCCAGGCAAGCGATCCTTACCCCCAGCGCCAGATCCTGCCCTGTCGCCCCCCAGCGCCAGGAGGCGCCCAGAGAACGGCCGCGCGAGCTGGTTCTCTAGACTGCTCTTTGATACCCTACCCCTTCGTCCCCTGGGCACTGCCAGGCCCCCCCCGAAGTCCTGGGCCCACCCGCTGGGCCTATGCCAGCGGCGGGCGGCCCATGTGCAGTGGGCGCGAAGGGCGGCGCGCGCGAGCGCGCGGGCGTCGGCCGTCCCTGGCCTCCGCGCGCCACGGACAGCTGGCGACGGGCATTTCCTCAGGGCAGCAGCGTCGTCGCCGTCGCCGTCGCCGTCGCCGTCGCCGTCGCCGTCGCCGTCGCCGTCGCCGTCGCCGTCGCCGTCGCCGTCGCCGTCGTCGTCGTCGTCGTCGTCGTCGTCGTCGTCGTCGTCGTCGTCGTCGTCGTCGTCGTCGTCATCGTCGTCCAGGAGCCGCGGCCTCCACGCGCCACGCCACGGAACTCGGTCGTCCGGCAGCCACGGCCTCCGCACGACACGCTCGGCGGGTTTCGGCTTTCCCTGGCCCCCACGCGCCACGGCAGGTGGCGACGGGCATTTTACCAGAATTTGGTCGTCCAGAAGCCAACCTCGATGGTCCTCAGGGCGTGTGTAACCTCGGATCCGCGCTGGGGCGCCCTGGTGCGAGCGCGCCAGGGAGGGGTGCCCAGCGCAAATCCAAGAAATCCGCGCGGAGCGCCAAAAGTTTGTGTTTATGTGTTTTTCCTTCCTCTAGTGGTGTAAACCCAGTGTATGTGTGTGTGTGTGTGTGCGTCATCGGGATCGGGAAGAGTAGCGTTGTCATCGTCGTCGTCGTTGTCGTCGTCGTCGTCGCGAGAGTGTTTGTGTCGTGTGTTACGCCCCTCAGCTCCATCGGCAGCGCGCAGCCTGCGTCGGCCCATGGTGGCACCCGGGCGCCGTGGTGTCGAGGGGCCTCGGTGGACCAGCGCACGCTGGCGCCAGCACACGCTCTGTGGGTCCCAGGCCCAGAGGGCCGCTAAAAGCGGCCTAGGGCGATACGCTGATCGTCGTCGTCGTCGTCGGGATTGGCAAGAGTAGCGTCGTCATCGTCATCGTCATCGGCTTCGTCGTCGTCGTCGCCATCGTATTGGGTATGGGTTCATTTGAGCTTTGGGGCACTCGTCGTGAACAGAGAGATGTGACGTCCGTTGTCCGGGCATGAGCACCGCCTCGACGGCGGAGGACGACGACGACATCGACGACGACAACAACGACGACAACGACGTCGACGACGACGATGACCGTCTTGACGGCGGCGATGACCGTGCATGAACACCGACCGCCTCGACGGCGGAGATCGGTCAATATTTCCGAGGGACATTCCGCCCCTCTTGTTCGCTGCCAAGCCCTGCCAAGTCTTAATGCGCCAACTTCGCAGAGCGGCTTTCGATCTGAAAAATAAGAAAGCCCCAGCATTTGATTGACTTTCGTTCCAGATGTAGTTGTGAATTTCGAGCGGATTTTTGTTACTTCGCAAATGCGACATAAACGCATCCACGTGGAATTTATTGAGTTTTTCGATCGCCATGTTGGGGTGTTCATCTGCAGAAATCCACGTAACGTTTCCCTGTGGCCCGTCTGCAAAGCCAGAGCCGTAACAAGTCATACTGAGCATCGGCTCTTCTCCCGGCTGTCCATTCGGCGGCCAGCTCGGCGCGGTTTCGCAGTGGAGGCGCCCCGAAGTGGGGACAGATCGCCCCCCCCCTGGCGACGCAGGAACCTGAGTCCTGGCCGTCGTGACAGCAACCGTCCGCGGTCCACTTCATGGCCACCACACCCAGGGGCGATCACGGCATCTCTTTTGGATCCGCGCTCCGGAGGAGGAGGATCCTGCTCCTGGACGTGACGATCAGTCAAGTGCGGTAGCTTCGTGTCGTGTCGACGCGGCGACGACAACAGCGCGGGTGTGAACGGGTGGACGCTGCCAGTGGCCCAGGATCAGCCACTACGGACAGGTCTGGTGAGTGAAACGCCGCCGACTTTTTATGATTAAGGTTGAACGATCCGTGCGGTGTCATAAACCAACGCCGAAGTCGCCACGACACGAAGCTACCGTGCAATCACAGCGTACATGTTTCGAGTAGGCGATCGACTACATACTTGATGTACCCGAAGTTTTTCCGTCGAATCCACGCAACACATAGCATGCTCGTAGATCTACCGGACATCCTATTCTTCTGAGACCCGAGAAAACAACATGAATCTTCGAGACATGAATTCGGTAGTCGATCTCCTATTCGAATGTTGTCTCCAACCTGGCAGAGAAGGATCATCTCGGCTAATGCCGTTGAGACTCTACGCCCCTCCGCGCAGGCCTCTCGGCGCTCGAGTCGGTGTGCGAGCGGCTGCAGGCGGCGGGCGTAGAAGGCTCCACGCCCATGGCGGTGGTGGACCGCGCGTCACTGGCGGCGATGCAGGCGCGGGCCCTCTCCACGCACTCTCTCTCTCTCTCTCTCTCTTTCTCTCCGGGGAGGAAGAGGGCACCCGCAACGCTACCCTTGCCTCGTTCTCGCTCTGCTGGGGGCCTCCCGGGAGGCCCTCGCCTCGAAACGCTGGTCGGAACGCACCCCCGGAGAGGTCCTCGGAGCAGCGGTGTGGTCACCTTTTTGCCCCCCCGGCCCGCGGGGCCTGGGCGCACGCCGGCCGTCTGGAACGGATCTTCGGACATCCTCGGAGCAAGCCATGGGACACAACTCCTCCTCCTCCTCCTCCTCCTCCTCCTCCTCCTCCTCCTCCTCCTCCTCCTCCCCCTCCTCCTCCTCCTCCTCCTCCTTGGATCCAAGTTTCAAGGCGTTGACAACACCACGCGTGTTTTGTTCCATGATGCTTTTTGCCCTCTCGGGGGCGAGTTGGGGCCATCGTGGAGGCATCCGGAGGCCAACCTTCAGCCGTCGGGGGCTCGCGAGGCCCTCTTGGGGGCCGTCTTCAGTGCCTCTTGGGCCCTCCTGGCCGCACGGTGGCGTCCCGATTGGAATCCCGGGTCAACCTGAGCGGCCAGGAATTTGACCCCCCCCCCCGTTTTTCCTCCCCCTGGTGGACAGGAAGGAACATCGAGACAGGGCTAGCGAGGCAGGAGCAAACAACAAGAGACAACACGAATTCACACAGGCAGCAGCTCAGCGTGAGACTGCACAGCTTTGCGCCCCCAAGGGGACCGCCGGATTTCGATCTGCGGTTTCGTCGCCAGTGTCCCAACCATATGGCCCCAGAGCCATGGGCCCTCGTTCTCTTGGCTGCGCTTCTACCAGGAAGGGGAGGAGGGGATGGTGCGGGGAGGGGGTGGAGTAGGACAGAACTGCACGGTGACGAAGAGACGGACGGGGGAGGCGACAATGATGACGATGGCGATGACGACGCCACCGACGACGTCGATGATGGAGGAGAAGTAGAAAGAGTGACCCTAAAGGGTCTTTCTGCTGCCCGCCCCCCCCAACGCTTTCGGCTGACAATTGAACTCGTCCGTCCTCTCCTCGTCCTTCCTCTCCTCGTCCTCCCCATCGTGCTCCCACGCACCGGGCGTCTCCTGCTCAGTCTGTGTTTGATATTCCCACAGCTTGCGTCGGTGACCTTCAAGCGGCCTTCTGTGAGTACGATGGCGACGACGGCTGCGGCGGCGACGACGACGACGGTGGATGCCTGAGCGGTGGCCGTCGCGGGGGAAGATAATTATTTTCCAAGTATTGTTGGGGTCCCAATCCGTCAATCAGTCCGCGCAAACAACATATTTGTGTGCATATTGTTAACGACCATTATGTGTTAGGTGGGCTGAAGGACAGAGATGAGGAAATCAGGCATGCTCTAGGAGGAGAGAGACGACGAATGGTGGTGGTGGCGGTGTTGGTTGTGAAAATGATGACGAATGCGATGATGGTTAGCGATGGCGATGGCGATGGCGATGGCGATGGAGACGGTGACGTCAACGACGGCCATTGATGATGATCGTGGGGCTGATGGTTATGGTGATGCTGGTTATGGTGGTGCTGATGAAGCTGCTGATGATCGTGGTGGTGGAGGTGGTGGTTGTGATGATGATGCTGAAGGTGATGCTGGTGACTGCCAAGACGACAACGGCGACGATGACTATGACGATGGCGATGTTGATGCTGGTGACGCGGGTGGTGATGGTGGTAATGGTGGTAATGATGCTGTCGGAGATGATGAGCGATTCTATGATGATGCTGATGACGAGAATGATGTTGCTGATGATGATGGTATGATGATGATGAGGAGGAGGAAGATGATGATGTTGACGATGATTATGATGATGATGACGATGATGATGAAGATGATGATGATGATGATGATGATGATGATGATGATGATGATGATGATGATGATGATGATGATGATGATGATGATGATGATGATGATGATGATGATGATGATGATGATGATGATGATGATGATGATGATGATGATGATGATGATGATGATGATGATGATGATGATGATGATGATGATGATGATGATGATGATGATGATGATGATGATGATGATGATGATGATGATGATGATGATGATGATGATGATGGTGGTGGTGGTGATGATGATGCTGATTATTTAATCGCTTCGTTCATTCCGCCGGCCCTTCTTGCCGCACCTCTGTCGATTTGGGGGTGTATTCTTTTGGGGGTCGCAGTGACTGTGGATTTGGTTTCGGGGGTCCGTCGCAGATTCCGGCGGGGTTGTCCTGGGGCAATTGTGGGTGATCACGGTTCTGGTCGGTGATAAGGCGCGGGCCTTGTCTATAGATGTAAGGCTGGCGCCTTCTAAAAGCAGCCTCCTTCTAAAAAGCCTTCTCCCCTCCCCCTACCCTCTTGTGCGCGCCGCCACGAGAGCGGAGGAGGAGGGCTGAGGAGGCGCAGGAGGGCGGGGAGGGGAGTGGGTGGGTCTTGCAGGGCGGGTCCATGGCAGGGTCCACTTCGATCCATTTCGATACGATCTCGATCCTCATTCTCCTCGTCCCTCTCCCTCACCCCTCCTCCTCCGCATGCTCCTCCTCCCCCATCGTTCTTCATCCTCCTTGTCCTCCATCCTCGTTCTCCCCCCCCTGCTCTCCTCATCCCTCCTCCTCCTCCTCCTCCTCCTCCTCCTCCTCCTCCTCCTCCTCCAGGCGCCGTTTTGGGGCTCCCTCCCACGCGCGCGGGGGCGCGCCGCGCGGGGGAGCAGCCATACGGCCCCAGTCGCCAGCGGCCCGCGGCGGCGCGGGCGCTGGTGCATCAGGCGCCTGTGGCGCAGGACGGGTGCCCGCCCAGGACGGCTCGCGGTGCCCGCAGCCCGTCCCCGGCCTGGCACAGGCGCCAGCGGCGGCGCCGTGCATCTGCGAGGGCGGTCCTGCGAGTCGAGCAGGCTCGCTCCATCCTGGCTGGACACCACGGCGAGTGCATGGCGGAGCCCCGCCAGCCCCCCACGGAGCCCCCGTGGAAGCGTGGCGGGCAGGGCTCCACTTGGGCGTGTGTGGCGACCAGGGCCTGCGGCTACACGTCCAACTACGGAACCCGTGAGACGTGCTGGGCCTGCGGCCGCGACCGAGCGGGGCGCCCGACGGCTGAGGCAGGGGCTCGCGCCAAGCAGCGGCCGCGGTCCAAGCCTCGCCCTCGTTCTGGTCGGCCTTCTTCGGCTCGCGAGCCTGGCCGCGGGGATGACCCCATGGATGGCGGCGGCAGCACCAGCGCGGCCAGCTCAGCCGAGGCCCAGGCAGTGGCCAAGTGCAGGCGTGCGCTCAAGGCCTTGCGCGGCATCCACGACGACAAGCACCCGCTGGTCGCTGCAGCCCGCCACGAGCTCGCCGCTGCCGAAGCTGCAGAGCGGGCCACCATGCCCCCCGAGGATGTGCTTAGGTCGGCCCTCGACAGGCAAGCCACTCGGGAGGCAGAGAGGGTCAAGGCTCAGGAGGACGTGGACAACCTCACCGCCGACCTGGTGGCCGCTCAGGCCAAGCTCGACGGCATCAAGCAGCAGCTGGTGGAGTCCGAGTCGGAGGTCGCGCAGGCCAGGCTGGCCAATGCCGCTGCGCCCCTCCCAGCGGATGCCGCCACTTCGGTGGCCGCGCTGCAGCGGCTGCTCCAGGGGGCCCACACCTCGATCCTTCAGGGCCAGGACCGCAACACTGTTGGCGGGGCCATCTTGGACCAGCTGGTCAACCACGTTCGCGCGCTGGGCGAGGCGCTACCAGGAGGAGGCGGAGTGCGAGCTGCCGCCTTTCGCGCCGCGGGTGGGCAACCCGCTGGCGCCAGCGCCCCCTCCACACCACCAGCAGCACCACCAGCAGCACCGCCTCAGCAGGCCGTCGTCGAAGGGAGCCCAGACGCCCAGTGGGAGTATGCGGGGACTGCATAGGCGTGGCAGGCGCTGCGCGACTCGTCGCACATGTGGCATCGTCACGTTCAACGGCTCCTGCTGGGCCTCTCTCCAGTCCTTCCTCCTAGAGGGCGCCCAGGACGCGCTCGTCGTTGCGGCTCAGGAACTTCGACTGGATCGAGAGGCACTGGACAGAGCGCGTACATGGGCTCATCGACACGGGTGGCAGCCATTCATCAGCCCGTGCCGTCGCTTGGAGAGCGGGCTCCCGAGTGCAGGAGTGGGGCTATTCGTCAGGTCGCACGTGCAGGCCACTCTGCTGAGTGGGTTGGGGAGCACGTCCCCTGGCAGTTTTGAGATCTTGCGCTCGTGGGCCGTGGCGGTTCACATACGTGCGGGCCTCCGAGGCGGCTTCATCGTTGGCTCGGCCTACATGGAGTCAGTTGCTGGTGCCGACTACCTCTCGGCCAATTATCAGAAGCTCATGCGCATCTCGGAGGCTATGCGCTACTACGCTGCTCCCTTCGTCTTCGCAGGGGACTGGAACACCACGCCTCAGGACTTGGAAGCGCTCGGCTTCCTTCAGGTCATGCCGGCGGCGATCGTGGCCCCCAGTCAAGGTACATGTAGGTCGGCGGTTTCGGGCACCTACAGGGTCATCGACTACTGGCTCACCACCCCTGGCTTCGTTCGGGCTTGTGGCAAGCCGCGCGTGCTGGACCGATGGACAGCCCGCCCACACTACCCTGTGCGCTTCGAGCTGGAGGCCAAGCCGCGTGCTCAGTGTCAGCTTCATCTGGTGGCTCCGCGAGCTTTCCCACGCCAGGCGCCGCGGTACTCAGGCGCTTCCCCCCTGGTGGGTGCGCCGCCGCCTCAGCCGTACCTCGATGCCGTCCGCCATGACGCGGCACGCGGGATCCCTACTGATGCAGACTGTGCAAGGCAGCGCCTGGACGACCTCTACTCCAACTTCATGAGCTTCGTCGAGTCGGACCTCTCGCACATCTACAACATCCAGGAGCCTGAGGCCCATGCGGGGCGTGGCGCCCCTCCGCGCTACGTGTGGCGACCCATCGGTGGCCCTCCGAGGCAGGGCCAGCCCGCCGCGGGAGCTGAG